AGGACTGGAGGTTGCAACCCAATTCTTGGTTTCGGGGCCGCTACCGTTCCTATGATTCCCCAGCACTGAGTCAGGGCAGTTAAAATGGACTCAATTTGCACTATTTCTGGCAGTCTGCAAAGGCCCGATCAGGGAGGTCTCAGGCCTGAGTCTGCTGAACCTAAGCAGAGCAGTGGAAGATAAATTTTTGAGATGTCTTATCCACAGGGTCCCCAGAGTCGGGTCCATTCTAGGGCAGTTAACAACAATAACAACAGTGAATGCAGCTGATGGTACCCAATTACTTCCACTTTGAGGTACTGAAGCTAATAGGACCCTACACACTTGAATCCCACCTATCTCTATGTTCTCCATCTTACACTTTAGTCACTTCTGGCACAACCTGTAACAAAAATAAAGGACACAATGAGCTGATTTTCTCAATATCATGTGCATTTAGGGACCAAAGATGACACTGACATAATTTAATCAATAAACCATAATAATGTATGGGTGATAATTATTACTTTATGATACCCCCTCGTAATTCAAAAGGTGACTTGAAGGTGTGTGCACACATGCATCCACATGCTGCTTCAAACCACAACCTTCTTTTTCCTTTACAAGACAACTAGATTACACCATAATGAGCAAGGAGGGGGGTGAAATACACTCGTCCCTCCATTTTTGCAGACTCTGGGTACGCAGTCCTGGTCCTTCGCAGACCAGCAAGCAAGCAGGGATAAAATGGCATGTGCATGGCACATGTACAGAGTTGTGTGTAGGAACGTGCGGCCATTCAAGCCTATGGGACTTGAATACTAGCAGATTTCCATTTTCATGGGGGGGGGTCCAGAATGGATCCCCCGTGAAAATGGAGGGACTCTTCAAATATTTCCTAACCATTGTTAATCAGAGAACAGTCAACCAATCTATTTAGTCTGCATGGCAACAAATCATCTCTAGTTTGAAAACAAAAGTAACCCTTCCAAATCCTACCCTGGGCTATTAAAGTAACATTTTCTCCAAAATCCAAATCCCTAAAGGGCATCCAATTGGTTGTTGTGTGCCTTCAAGTTTATGATGACCCAAGGTTGCTACTCAGAGGGGTGGGGTACAAATAATTTATTATTATTATTATTATTATTATTATTATTATTATTAGGTGACTCTATCATTGGGGGGTGGGGTATTATTGGCAAGATATGTTCATATGGGGTTTGCCCTTGCCTTCATCTGAGACTGAGAGAGTGTGACTTTCCCAAGGCCATTCACTGAGTTTCCATAAATTAGTGGGGATTCAAACTCTGGTCTTCAGAGATGTTCTACAACGCTCAAATCACTACACTACACTGGCTCACATCCAATCTAGTCCCTATCAAACTACCATGCTCACAGGTAAAAAGCACCAGTAAATGAAGTGTACTACAAGGAATTTGCTGGCAAATAATAGCTTCATAAACCAGTGCATCCCAGCATGCCACTACCTTTCCATAGTGGTAAGATTGCATTTTCCTGTGAGCTTAGGGCCTCGGCAGATGACTAATTGAGTCGTCTTCGAGGCAAGGA